TCATGTTGATGCTTTCAGATTCTTCTTCGGTACTTGTATCATCTTTACAGGTACAAGGACCATTTTCTCCATTACAACAATTTTCATATGATGATGATAAAACTTCTCCTTCATCTGAAGTTGTTTCTTCCTCTTTACTAAAGTCCTTTAATTCATTAATTTTTTAGAACTTTTACTAAAACATGTATTGGCATAATGTCCCTTTTCCCACATTTATAGCAGGTAGGAATCCTTTTGGTTTTCTTACTTTAGAAGCTTTTTTCTGCTTATCATACTTCTTTTTTGTAATATTTGTATTTGTTCTTTCTTCGTGAAATTTTTGGAATAGGTTGTTCTGGTCCTATGCCAAATTGGTAGCAAAAATCTCCTAGCTCCCTTCGAGAGTCAGACTTTTCTCTTTTACGCCTTTTAAGACGCAGATCATTACATAGGTCTAATCCAATGTTTTAAAACGCAGAGGCGTGACGCAAGGTGCTCCACTACCTAGAGGCGTAGTTACGCAAGAGGCGTAAGCCTCCCAAATACAAGGAGGCATAAGCCTCCTTAAGAGGAGGGGGGTTAAGAGCAGGATGAAGAGTAAGGGGGGATCTCATTTTTTCTTTATTTTTAATAAAAAACTTTGATATTAAAAAGAATAAAGATGCATAACATTAGTTGAAGGGGGGGGGGTCCTATCAAAAGGGGCAGGGGGCAAACCACTTCCTTTCCCCTTATCTTTTCTTCCCTTCCCTTTCCTTTTCTTTTCTTTCTTTTCTCTTTTTTTCTTCTTTTTCTTTTTCTTTCGTTTCCCTTTCTTTTCCTTTCCTTTCCTTTTTCACTTTTTTCCTTTTTTTTTTTTGTTTTCTGTCTTTATATAAGATGTGCATGAGGCATACGCCTACGCCTCTTGCACTTGAGGCGTACGCCTCAGAGGTGTCAGCGCCTCTGGCATATGCCTCAAGGCATTTTGGGAGCGCCTCGCGCCTCCAGGCATACACCTCCCACGCCTTTTAAAACATTGGTCTAATCCTACCTATTTTACTATTTGTACTAGCGGGGACCCGTGCGATGCATGGGATTTGTTAAGGAAAGCTAAACAATAAAACACATAAGAGTATACAATTGTTTTATATTTCTAACTTTTTAAATAATGATTAATTATTTATATTTTATAATACTTTTAATAACTTTTTACAATACAAAAATAACAATAATTTATTTCTGCTAAGCTTGTTCATCGAACTGATGAAACCAACCTACTCGACCTGAATTGCTCAGTTTCTAATATTTTTGGTTGAAATTGGGATCAATTTCGCTATGGCCATTTGTAAATTGACCAAAATCGAATGACCCAATCACAAATATATATTAATATTTTTATATATAAAATATAATTTTTTAATACGGGAAGTGGGAAAATTCCCATATTTCTTAGTCTTAAATATTTTGTATTATAAATTTATGTTTTAATAATGTTAATGTAATTTCTAAAATTTAAAATTAAGTTTTCAATGTAATCTTTTAAACCAATTGAGCAAACCAAAAATCAACCCAAACCAATACAACCCGATGTAGTTGGTTTTCACTAATGGTCAGTAGATTTCGGGTAGCCAACTCCCCAACCTGACCATGTCGATTTGGTTGGCCAAATAGCCTACAACCAAACTAAACCAAGTCGTGATCAACACTCCTAATTTCATCTAAATTAATATTTTAATCCATAAAAGTAGTTTAATCTCAAATAATTATTATAAATTTCTAGCGAAAATGCACAATACTTGAAAATATATTGATAATAAAAATAAAGTAATTACAATAATTACAAAAAACTAAAAATACTAAAAAATATATTAAGTTAGTCAATAAATATTGTAATCTCAAATAATAGTTTAATCTCTAATAAATATCAATGAATACAGTACAAAAAAAATACAATAAATACAATAAGTATAATAAATTAAATTTAAAAAGTTAAATAACAGTAGTTTAATATCCAATAATTATTAAAAACTTTCTGTTAAATAACAAAACAAATATAGATTTATACATAATTACTGAAAACATATTTATAAAAAAACAATAAATATTAATTTTAGTACATTAAATATATAATAAATATAGATTAATATTTTAAAATCATTATTAATGAATATTATTTTTTTTTAAATTATTTTTCTAGAATTATTAATTGATATAAGTGAAATTGGTTAATTAAAACATTATTTAGTTATTTAAATAATATCCCTATTTAAATTTTATAATTTTAATTATTAATTGAATTTAATAATCAATAAAATTATAATTTGTTCTATTATTAAATAACTTCATTATTAATTTTGTAAAAAATTTAAATTATTATTAATTTTAATATTATGTTATGATTTTTTATTTTAATTTTTTTTTAATTTATTGCATAATTTCGTTATTTAAAATATTTAGTTATTAAAATATTTAAATAGTATATAAAATATTTAAAAATACTAATTATTTTAATTTAAGATATTTAGTTATTGAAATATTTAAATAATATTTTTTAATATTAATTTTTTATTATTTAAATAACATTTAATTTGAATAATCTGAAAAATCATAATTTATATTGTTAGTACATAATCTCGTGATGAATTTTGTAAAAATGTAAAACTATTAATAATATGAATATTATTAAATCTATTATAATTATTTTGTGTTTTTAATAAATATTTTAAAGTTTATACTATTATTACATAATTTCATTATTAATTTTGTAAAAATTTTAAATTATAATTATTTTGATTATTATGTTATGATTTTTTTATTTTATTGCATAATTTTGTTATTTTAACTATTTAAAATATAGTTATGTTAAATATTTTGTTGTTTAAAATATTTAAATAATATATAAAATATTTAAAAATACTCGTTATTTGTATTTAAGATATCTATTTTTTGAAATATTGACATAATATTTTATTTTTTAATGTTAAATTTCTATTATTTGAATAACATTTAATTTGAATAATCTAGAGTATCATAATTTATATTATTAGTACATAATTTCGTGATGAACTTTGTAAAAGTATACAACTATTAATAATATGAATATTTTTAAATCTATTAAAATTATTTATTGTGTTTTTAATAATTATTTTAAAGTTTATACTATTATTAATCTATTAAAATTATTTATTGTGTTTTTAATAATTATTTTAAAGTTTATACTATTGTTACATAAGTTCATTATTAATTTTGTAAAAATATTAAATTATTATTAATTTGAATATTATGTTATGATTTTTTTATTTTATTGCATAATTTCGTTATTTTAACTTTTAAAATATAGTTATGTTAAATATTTAGTTATTTAAATAATATATAAAATATTTAAAAATACTCGTTATTTGAATTTAAGATATTTAGTTTTTGAAATATTGACATAATATTATTTTTTAATGTTAAATTTCTATTATTTGAATAACATTTAATTTGAATAATCTGAAAAATCATAATTTATATTGTTAGTACATAATTTCGTGATGAATTTTTTAGAAATAAAAAACTATTAATAATATGAATATTATTAAATCTATTATAATTATTTTTTGTGATTTTAATAAATATTTTAAAGTAATTATATAATTTGTTAAAATATTTAAATGATTTTAAAATTTTTAGTTTAAACTTTCTTTAGATAGATACAGATAAAAAGTGGCAAAGAGGATAAATAGGAATTAGAGATAATTTGGAGAGAAATTCTCTAGTAAATTAGAGATACGTTAGGAGATAAATAGTAATTGGAGATGATTAGGAGAAAGTGGGGAGGTAGTTTAGGATAAATTTTATAAGAAGAGATTGTTGGGGAAGGAGAGCATCTCATTGGTTCTTTAAAAAATTGACATGGAATAAAAAAATAAAAAATTCAAAAAAAGGAGAAAATTTCTTCAATGCCTTGTTTATATATAAGATAAACTATTATTTCCAATAGTCTTCCCTTGAATTATCAAGTCTATGGACCTTGGATAAGAATACATCTTTGTACCATCTAAAATCAGATACAGTTTTTACACTTTAGCTTTATGGGTTGTTCGTTTATCCCTCCTTTCATATCATCAGAGTTCCCTATAAAATGGTTGAGGATATTCAATACTAGGGTGGTTACTACATCCTGGATAGGGAGTCCATACCTATCTACCATTACTTCTCCCTCCTCATCTCTCTTAACCACATTAAGGATGTAATCCCTCTCTCTCTCTCTATCTCTCTCTGAGTTAGAGACTCTAGAGAAGTGTATTGAACTGTACTATGAGCAGTACCACTAAAAGAGATACTTGCAGATCATGAACAGTAGAAGTGAGCAGTACTATAATCAGTGAATGAACAAAGCTCAATAAGTAACTTGAAGCATAAGAGCTTGCATTATCACTAAAAGAGATAACTTAGACTTTAGCTGGTACTATTACAACTCGGACTTAGAGATTTCTTACACTGAAAATTTACAAACTGAAAGATCACACTCTCAAACTAGAACATTTAAAACACTCTTTTACACTGAAAAAAAAAATAATAATAAAGTTGTAATGTTGATTCCTTATTGGATGTGTCTTCTATTTATAGTTCCAAGTGACCAAGTTTTTAGTTTACTTAAGCTTGGAGCATCATCATGATGTTACATGTAGGGTAGTGTCTGGAGCATCTTCAGGCTGGGCTTTAAGGTATGTTGTTTAGTCCCAAAATCAGTTTTAAAATGACCAGAAGTAGTTAAGCCAGTCCCAAAATGTCTTCTTCAACTTTCTTGAGTGATCTCAAATAGAAACATAGTACTCCTTAAGAGAGAGAGAGAGAGACAGAGAGAGACAGAGAGAGAGAGTTGACCCAATGCATAGTATATTAGTATCTTTCTGGATCATTTCTGCACTCCTCTTTGTGTTTTGCTATATTATCCTTGGTGTTGATTGATTCACTTCTGACCTTTTTATTTTTGGATCTTGTTGTTCATTATCTTCAAAATGATCCTTATACATTTCCTTTTATTGTTTTTCCAGAAAAAAAGGAGGAAAATTATTTCAATTTACAGGGGATCATATTGGATCTGAGGCTTCAGAACATGTAGGTGTATCTTGTCCCCCCCATAACTTGCCACTGGATGCATTCCCTCCAAGAGATCAATGTGATGAGATTGCCTATATATAACATAGGTGTATCTTGTTTATTAGTTATGCAGTTACAGGTCTAAGCTAGTTGGGCTGGGCTTTGTTTCTTATTGTTTAGTTGTTGCTACCTTATGAGGAACAGACATGTACTTACACATTCTATTCTTAAAGTATAAACAGAAGTTGGTGTTCTATTGAAATCCACAATCTGATCTCTCCAGTTTCTTCCCTCTATCTTCTTCTACTTCTTCTACTTCTTTGATTCTTCCCTACTGAAATCAATCTTTTCTGTGACTGTTACATACAAGACTACAGATTTGAAGGTTTCTTGGATTGATAACTTGGTATTATTTTGATCCAGATTTCTTTTCTCATGCAGTCCTAGTCCAACCGACTGCATGAGATAATCAGAGGGCTGTAGTTTTGAAGCTTTGTTGACCTGGTTTTACAACTTTTGGAGATTGACTGCATCTGCCCAAGAGTCTGACTTGGACAACAGCCCAGAAGTAGAACTGTTCATGGGTCGGGCCAGGCCGGGCTTTTACTCTTCATTAATGAAAATTTGTTAGGCCCGAGCCCGAAGCCTGATTGTGTTCGCCAATGAATGTGTTCGCCGGAACTGAGTTTGCGGTGACTGTGGTCTGTGAGCTGGGAGCCTGTGACCTGCGATTTTAAGTTTGACAGTGATCAGTTTGCGTCTGAGAAAGAGAGAGAGAGAGAGAGAGAGAGAACTCTCCGCCGGAGCCGGTGCCTATATTCGCCGCCTCGCCGTCGCCGGTGTCTGAGATTTGAGTAGAGGAATGAGAGTCAGAGAGAGAGAGAGAGAGAGAGAGAGAGAGAGAGGAGAGGAGTGAGGACTCACTGCCGGAGTTGTTGCACCGGTGAACGTTCGCCGCCTTGCCGGTTGTGTGGCTGCCTAAGAGTGTGAGGATGTGAAGTTGAGAACGGTGGAGGATGTGGAGACTGGAGAAGAATAGTTCGGCTGGAAAAAGAAAGGAAAGAGGCAAAGAGATGAAAAAAAGAGGGGGTCTTCAACTAGGGTTTTTAGGTTTAGTTATAGGTCGGGCTGGGCCGGGCTATTTTGACAAATACCGAGCCCGACTCGAATTTATTGTGGGCCGGGATTTTTGGCCCGAGGTTAAGCCCACGGGCCCATATGCGTGTTCAAGCCCATCCGGGGGCCGGGCCGGGCCGGGCCGGGCCGGCCCATCGGGCCACCTGGCCCATGAACAGGTCTACCCAGAAGTTGAGGCAAAGACCAGAGATTGAGGTAAGGGTGTTTAGATCTTGGTTGGGTAACTGATTGGCCATGATTTTTCAGTTTTTCTGGGTTCATTAGTGGTCATAGAAGAGACCAACAGCAGCTGATTTGCTTGTAAAGAGTCAAGAGAGATTGACAGGGTCTTTTCTCTCTTCCCGGGATCCCAGAAGACACCCTGTAATAGGTGTTTGGGCCTAGATTCATTGTTGGTTGGATTGCCAATGCTTCTTCAAGCCTAGAAAGGAGATCAGTTTCAGTTTGAGTTGTTTCTTTGTGATCTCAGTTTGATCGGTACTCATATTCTGTTGATTGTTGATCCTAGTGATTAGCTTCGGGATAGGGTGTGACTCTTTTAGTTGTAGATATGATTGCAACTAATATTTTTGGTTGATTTCTCTGTGAAAGATGTTATTTTTGGTGATAAATGGAAGTGTCTGGAGAGGAACACAAACAAGGTACTGATACTTATGGTGGTCCAGTGATATTTAGTGATCCCTTTTCTTCTCAAATGACTACTATCAAATTGAATGGTAGTAGCTACCTCGAAGGCTCGAAAATTTACAAGCTATGAAGACCTATGTTGGGGGTCATGGAAAGCTAGGATATCTTACTAGCATTGACAAAGAGCCAAATGCCCAGGACCCCAAACATGGCAATTGGGTTTAGGAGGATATGATGGTGATGTCATGGATGATTAATTCAATGCAAACTTGAAATCACCAAGATTTTTTGTGAATGAAGATATCCAAGGAGATCAAGGATAATGCTTCCAAGACATATTCTCAGGCTCTTGATATTGCTAGAGCTTGCTAGTTGAAGATGGAAGTAAATAACCTTAAGTAGGAAGAGCTATCTTTATCTGTTTGTTATTCTAAACTGGGGACTCTATGGCAGGACATAGACTGCCTAGTGACATTTGAGTGATCATGTACCAAAGATGCGGCTATGTACAAGGAAATTGTTGAATACAGAATACGACATTACTATGAAGAATATATTAGCAAAGGATGATGTAACGTTATCTTAGGCATATTCTTTGGTGCATACAAAGGAGAGTTTTTCTTCAGCCCTCTATTGTTGGTCACTCAGATTTAGTTTCTACTGAGCCTAGAGTATAGAAGTCTACAGAGAATGGAGTGAATGGGAGTAGTGATGATGATGGAACTGTTGTCAGTGACTGAGAATGGCTGGAGCTGGTTCGAGGGAGCTCACCCTCCTGAGATACTCAAGAGGAAGAGAGGAAGAGAGAGAGGAAAGAGGAAGACGTTTATTGGATTAATCATGTCATGCTCTGAAGAGCTCATTACAAATATTTATAGCAGGAATCACGTCTTCTAACAAACTAACGAACTGAATCATATCTCCTGACGTGGATGGCGCGTGCACACGAACCTCAAAGGAGGCGTGGTGCGCATGATCCGTGGGGCGAACTGAGCTGGGCTTCGAGTGCCATGGGCCTGGACCTCTCCTTCTTGGCTTGCTTCTACTCGGGTCATAACACACCCTTCCCCATCGAGAACAACCTTGTCCTCAAGGTCGATAGTGGGAAACTATTTCTGGAGCTGGGTGTAATCCTCCCAAGTCGCATCCTCCTCCGGCAGGCCCTTCCACACAACTAAGACTTGCTTGTGGGCCTTGCTGCCATTTTTCACCCAACAAACATCCTTAATCCGTTGTGGTTCAAACACCACTTCGCCAACTTCTGAGAAGGGAGGGAGTGTGGGGCTGGTGATATCAGAAGGAGATAGACAAGGCTTAAGAAGGCTAACATGAAAAACGGGATGCAACTGGCACTCTGTAGGGAGGTTGAGACAGTAAGCTACGCTCCCAATTCGTTCAACCACCTGAAATGGGCCAGAGTAACGAGGAGATGGTTTCTGAGATGATCTTCGTGCCAGAGACGCCTGTCTATATGGTTGGAGTTTCAAATTGTCCCAATCCCCTACTGAGAATTCCAACTCCTGGTGTTTCTTGTCATAAGCAATCTTCATGCGCTACTGGGCCCGCTGTAGGTGATACTTGAGGGTCTTGAGTATATCGTTTCTCTTAGAGAGCTGGGCTTCAACTTCAGCTACTGAGGATGTTTCCTTCTCGTATGGTAGAATAGACGGAGGGTTACATCCGTAAAGTACCTTAAAAGGAATGGTTCCTACCGAAACTTGGAATGTGGTATTATTACCAGAACTCGCCCCATGGTAACCATCTAACCCACTGTTTGGGCTTATCTCCCACAAAACACAGTAAGTTTCCAAGCAACAATTAACTACTTCCGACTGCCCATCTGTCTGTGGATGATAACTGGTTGAATGAAGCAGATGTACGCCTTGGGCTGTGAAGTAGGCCTGCCAAAAGGAACTCATGAAGAGAGGGTCTCGGTCTGTCAAAATGGAGAGGGGGTCCCATGGAGTTTGGCCACTTCCCGTATGTAGGCCTAGGCTATGGTGGAGGCTGAGTAAGGCCTGGAGAGTGCAATAAAGTGTTCATACTTACTTAGCCGGTCGACCACTACTAGCACTACCGACTTCCCTTGAGATGTGGGGATCCCGGTTATGAAGTCCATGGTAACTTCTTCCCAGACCTTCTCTGGTATGGGTGGGGGTTGTAAGAGCCCAGCTAGAGCTCGAGTGCTATACTTCTGCTGTTGGCATGTGGCACACCTTGCCACATAATCTTGCACCATTCATTCCATGCCCCTCCAATGATAATGAGTGGCCAAACGCTTGTAAGGACGGAGAGCCCCAGAATGCCCACCTTGGGCTGAGTCGTGAAAGAGTTGTAACAATTCCTGGTGGTACTTGGATCGGTCCAAGATTACCATCCTACCCTTCTAGAAAAGAACACCACCTTTCACAATGTATCCTGAAGTAAGAGCAGATCCTTCTAGGATCTGGGCCCGTATCTGGGCCAAATGTTGCTCATCTTTAGCTTCTTGCTTTAATTGGTCCAACAGAGAATACTCCCATTATGTGAAGATCTCCCATCCTGGAAAGTGCATCGGCCACAGCATTAGATGGCCCCGGCTTATATTCAATGCTAAAATCGAACCCCAACAATTTGTAGGCCTATTTCTGCTGGTCAGGGCCCAATATTCTTTGTTCTAATAGATGCTTGATGCTGCAACGGTCCGTCCTAACAACGAACCTATGGCCCAGGAGATATGTTCTCCATTTCTGGATGGCGAGAGCAATGGCCATCAGTTCGTTCTCATACGTCGACTTGGCTTGGGCTTGTGGGGAAAGGGTCTTACTGTAGAAGGCCAGCGGCCTACCCTGCTGCATCAGGACCACGCCAATTCCTCTCCCAGAGGCGTCAGCCTCTACCACAAAGTCTAGGCTGAAATCTGGAAGGGCCAACGTGGGGGGTGTTGTAACTGCCTTCTTCAGTAAGTGGAAGGCTTCCTCCGCTTGTGGGTCCCACTCAAAAGAGTGCTTCTTCAATAATCTAGTGAGGGGTGCTGCCAGAATTCCATAGTTTTTGATGAACCTTCGGTAGTAACCAGTATGCCCAAGGAATCCCCTGAGAACTCATGGTGTGGTGGGCCTGGCCCATGTGACCATACAAGCTATCTTCTCCGGATCAGTGAACACTTGCCCGCTTGAGATGATGTGCCCCAAATAGCTAATTTGGGTCTACCCGAATGAACACTTGGAGGCTTAGCAAACAGCTGATGGTGGCGGAGTAGGCCCAATATGCACTGCAAATGGTCCAGGTGAGTGGCCCAATTTGGGCTGTAAACAAGTATATCATCAAAGAATACCAGCACAAACAACCGTAAATAAGGTTTGAAGATATTGTTCATGAGTCTTTGGAAGGTAGAAGGGGCATTGGCTAAACCAAAAGGCATCACTAGGAACTCGAAATGCCCATCCGAGGTCCAGAAAGCAGTCTTGTGAATATCCTCAGGGTGTACACGGATCTGATGATAACCTGA